AGGCCCAGCCCATTTGAGTTATTCGCGAAAAAGTAAGCCGAATATCAATGGATAAGCCGTACAGTCATCAGCTGCCAGCAATGGTGGTGAACGCTCAGTAGGCTTACAATGGCGATGGAGTTCCTCTCGAGATGTGCTTCTTCTTCCTCGTCACCATGTCTCGCTTTCTTCAACGTCCATCTTCAACATACTATTAGTTGTCGCGCTACTGTCAAGGTACTCGTCCTCCATCTATTTGTTGAAATTATCATCAATTTCATCTGCTGTCAATCATAATGTAGAATTTCACTCTGCCGCTGCAACTTTCGCCGTTGTATGTCGCATTAGGAATTTTGATTGCTTTTCAGTAATGTGTTAGATTGATCTATGGCAGTCGCAGGTATTGCCATGGAATTTTCCTGTAGTTGGTTTTGGTCGATCAACGAGTCTCGGCACCGATGGTCGGGGGAGAATTTGGGGTTGTAGTTGTGGAACGAATCGTGGTTTGTTGCTTCGGCAGCTATGGAGATATCATTCCAGTTTGTCCTCCGCGTCTGGTATGAGTTCCGTATGCTATCGGTATGTCTTGAAGTGGAAAAAATACGCGGGGAATTTCCGAAGAGTCAGGAATGCTATGGAAAAATTTAGACACCGTTTTTCTGTACAACTTGCTCGGGTGATGGTCTGCGTGATGCTAGTGATGTCTGTATCTTCTACTTTTGAGGATAGTCCATCATGTAAGATTAATTTTCAAATAGTATCTACACTCGAGCTTGAATTTGAGAAAACACTGTTCTGCATTTTGTTTTTCTTGATTGAATGTGCTTTAATTCAGGGGCCCTCACTGAAGAGAATCTACTCTTTTTGGAGGCATGGAGGACAATAGACCGTGCGTATATCGACAAGAATTTTAATGGACAAAGTTGGTTTCGTTACAGAGAAAATGCATTGAGAAATGAACCCATGAATACGCGAGAAGAGACCTGTATGAAATTTCATCTCCGTTTCTTATCTTGCATGGCAGACCGAATATTTTCATAGTAATGATCCGAAGGCATGAATAAACTGTTTCAACCCAGGGTCGTAAATTTGTCCTATCATTTGAACCTCTGATCCTATTGATTTGATTATTATGATCTATAAGTTAGATTGATAAAAATAAATCTTGCTGCAAAACCTCACTCGGTCTCATAGATGTGGCGAGAAACTTCTTGCTAATTTAGCACTTCAATTTAGACTTGTTTACTCGTCTTCCTAAATTTTTTTTCAGATACTGCAATAAAGAAGATGCTTGCGACTCTTGATGATCCCTTCACTCGATTTCTAGAACCTGAAAAGTTTAAAAGCTTGCAGGTAGGAAATGCTACCTTTTGTTAAGTTGTGTTTCATTTGTCTAGATGGAAAATAAATTCCATCTACAAATTTAGATGTGACATTCACTTATAATCTCCTTCTGGGTGTATGAAAGCAATGCTCTAAAATCTAGTAATATCTTCTTTGAAGGCAGTCTGGTACTCAAGGTGCTCTTACAGGTGTAGGGCTGTCCATTGGTTATCGCACCGCTGTTGATGGACCTGCTGGACTTGTTGTCGTTTCAGCTGCACCTGGGGGCCCTGCAGAAAGAGCTGGTATTACTTCTGGTGATGTGATTCTGGCAATTGATGACATTACTACAGAATCCATGGGTATATATGATGCAGCAGAGCGATTGCAGTAAGTTTCTTTCCTTCCCAAGTTACCATAATCTTGATAAGGAGGTACTTATTTAACTTTAACATGTTGCAACTTCTCTTTAAATTTAGTAATTTGTATTCGGTTACATCCAGATATGCAAAAACATGGATTTCATGTTCATGGTACCCCTGGTGTGTGTCGATTTTATTGTATTTTACTTCTCCATCTAACAAGAGTGATTACAGGGGACCCAAAGGAAGTTCTGTGCAATTGACCGTTCAAAGTGGACCCAGTGTAAAGCATCTAGATTTAGTGTAAGCTTATCTTCCACCCTTTTAACGGCTAGCTGTCGATGATTTGATGCCTTCCTCCTTCAGCAGTTGGTTAAATTCTTTTGTAAATCATGGTAGTTTCTCGTCAATGTAGAATATTTCAGTTTGTCATTGGAATTTATCCCTTTATCTTATATTTTTTCAACTAGGGAGCCAAAAGTCCTGAACTAGGGAGCCAAAAGTCCTTTGCCCCTAGAGAACCTTCTGGCATCATATAGCTTACTTATGAATAAAGCTGCACTAAGTCTACTTTCCCCTCTACTAGTCTAACTGTTCCAGAACTAATAGAATCACATCTTCCAGGCGAGAGAAAGTTGCAATAAATCCAGTGAAGTCCAGAATTTGTGAGTTGCCTGGCTCAGGGGACAATTCTTCTAAGATTGGTTACATCAAGCTTACCTCATTTAATCAAAAGGCCTCTGGTAAGGAAGGTCATCTGTACTTTGTAGCTAGAGCAACTACGCTGTAGTTTGACTAGGGGGCATTATCTTGTAGTATTCTCAGTCTTCAAGGCATTCCAAGAGATAACGTGCTTTTGTTTTGAGATTACGTCCTTTGCAGGTGCTGTGAAGGATGCTATTGATTCTTTAAGGAGTAACAGGGTTAATGCCTTTGTACTCGACCTTCGGGACAATAGGTGATTAGCTTTCACTTTTCAGCACTTAAAGTTTGCACTTTAGCACAGTTCTTGAACTATGGATCTTGTTGCAGTGGTGGTCTTTTTCCCGAAGGAGTTGAGATTGCCAAGATTTGGTACGTGCTATTTGAGTATTATCTGATGTATATTCATGTTGTAAGCTTCAATAATGGTGTAATATGACACAACGGAATTCAAGTAGATTACATTTAAATTTATGACGTGGCAAAAGATTCTAGGTGATAGAAGTGGTCACTTTGCATTCGTCGGCTCTTTCACCTGGATATCAAATCATAGTTCATGGAAAATTTCCCTGTTTAGCATGTAAGTCATATTTGCATTGCACATTACATAGAACTGCAGATGTTACTAGAACTACAGATGTTACAATTTTATTGTGGTCATACTTTTTACTTTTAGGATATGAAACTAACTTTCCTACACAATACACATCCCACTTGGGGCTCGAAACCATGGAAGAAGATACTTGGACAAAGCCCATGTTATCTTCCTCCGAATTTTAGCCTTCTATAGTGAGATGAAGAAAGGGGAGGGGAGGTAGATTGGGATAAGGACAAAACAGGACTTGCTAGAGAAGATGATTGCTTGAAGGCTCAAAATTCCAAGTACGAGAATCACTTCGTATTTAGGGAAAGGAGGTCTCTTGTAGCAACAAAAGAAGGGTAGACAAGTCTTGGAGCATGATTTCATAAATAAATCTTCTAAAATAGAAATCAAATTCTAAGGGACGTAGGAAAGTCAACACTAGGAATTAAAACGGAATCAACAAACGCCTCTTTGTTTCAGCAATGGGAAATGGTTGAAATGGGTTTCCGAGAACTCTTAAATATGTCATTTAGAAACCACATTAGCTATAGGCTCACAACCATAGTTGTTCATGATAATCTTGTACCACATTGAATCTGGTTTTTGAAGGGAAAGCACCGTATCACTTGGCTAGGTCAATTAGGCTCCTATTTGCTCGATTCCTTTTGCCTGCCCTCGCTAAATTCCTTGTAAAATAGGTTGTCTGTTTAAGTTTGTCTACATATATTTTTAATGAATCGAGTAGACTTATGTTTATTAGGTGATTTTGATGCTGTGCATGCTCAAGATCCATCATTTCATCTTTTCTCTTTTTCATTGATCATTTCATTTGCTAATTTACTTCTTTATTTTGGAAATCAGTAATTTATCTCAGTTTTAACATAATATTGACATAAAAGAATTTAAAAGTTGACAGTGTCACGTGCAATGCACATAGAACTATTGTGGTAAGGAATGTCTTCCTAGAACTCTGCTGCCTGGTTTCATATTATCAGTTCTTATTCAGGTTGGACAAAGGTGTTATTGTGTATATTTGCGACAGTCGTGGTGTCCGAGATATATATGATTCAGATGGAAGTAGCACTATAGCAGCTTCAGAACCACTAGCCGTGTTGGTAAACTTTCTTATCTATTCTCTTTCTAAATAAAGGCGTGCTCAAATATCTCATCTGTTGTTTCTTCATCATCACAACCCTTTAGTAATTCAAATTTTAGTTCATCTTTAGCATTTCATCAAGTTACGTTTCTTTTCTTGGTTTGAATTAAAAGCCGACTTCCATCAATGAATTCCATGCATTTTCTTCATGCATAAAAGATTCCCTTTACATCTTTCTTATTCTATAGAGTTAACACCATTTTGTCTTATTTCTGGACATTTGCAAATCTAGTGTATGGAAAAGTGTAATCCTTTCTTAACTTTATTGTGACCATTTTGGTGATACGCTTATATCAGGTCAATAAGGGAACTGCTAGTGCAAGTGAAATACTAGCCGGTGCATTGAAGGATAACAAGCGTGCTGTGTTGTTTGGAGAACCAACTTATGGGAAAGGGTAAGAACATTTTGCAGCGCCACAAAATGTCATTTTTATCCGCATTCCTAACATGAACTCACATCACTCTCTGCAGCAAGATTCAGTCAGTCTTTAAACTATCCGATGGTTCTGGCTTGGCTGTTACAGTAGCTCGTTACGAGACACCAGCCCACATCAACATTGACAAGGTCTCCCTATCTCTTACCACACAAACACACGAACACTCCTCAGGAAGTTGAAGTTCTTAACGCACCTGGTTATTCTACAGGTTGGAGTGATTCCAGATCGTCCTCTTCCAGCATCCTTCCCCAAGGATGGAGATGGTTTCTGTAGTTGCTTTGAGGACCCTGCTTCTGCTTGCAATGTCAACAGGGTACAACTATTTTCAAGATGATAAAGATTATTTTGTTTAAATTGCCATTATTTGACTTGGGATGCTCTGTTATCTTGATTGGTTGACATTCTTTACATTTAATAATCCTGCAAGTTTCTGTTATAGAAATTATTCACAATGTACATACAAGAACAGTACGTTTGATTTATATTATACTTTAATGGTTCGAGACGCGTCTTTTGTCGATTATTTGAAAACCCAGGATAGTTCTCAAGAAAGACCCTGCTGCACTAGATTAAAAGGGTTACACTATGCATAAGAATAGTTTTGAACTTTTTATTCTATACCCAACAAGAAGAGGAACTTGTCGAGGTTTTATGTAACCCAAGTAGTGAGTAAAAATTGGTGAGGTATAGAAGAAAAGCCCAGAAGCTCATTCTACTAAAGCATCCTAGTCCATGAACCTAAAAATGGGAAAACAGCAATTAACAGTCTCAACAGCAGGGGAGTATCACTTTTCTTTTCTCTCCAACTCAATTTACCTCTCTCCATTGATGATGAACTACTGCTCTTTTTTTTTCTTCTCACCCCAGATTCAACTCCATCAAGATCCTCCCATCCACCAAAATTGGTTCCACTTCTACTCTCCTTTCGAACTTCACCACCATTGTTACCAACTTCCCATGACTGATATCCATAGCCCATCTTTCCCTTACCCAACCCGTTTCCTTGTGCTTCTTCTTCTTCCTTCTCCTCCTCCTCCTTCACCCTCCTCCTCTCTGTGCTGTAGAATGGTCTCTTCCTGGTCTTGGTTCTGGTTCTGCGCTTTGGCCTCCTTTCTGGTGCTCCCCATAGCTTCTCTAGTGCCAGAGATATGATTGACTGGCCTAGTGGAAGAGCTAACGCCATTAGAAAAGCTTTTGGTCCTGAGTTTAACAGCAGTGAGATGATTATGGGTGGCAGAGCCCAGCCGTAGGATTTGAATACCTGCACTCACCAAGATTGGCTGATGAATTTTACTAACCCGAAGTCCAGAAATGCCAAAGCAGAAGAAGAAGAAGATGAAGAACTCTTTAGGTAATTTTATCAAACCGCAAACTGAATTCTCTCCTTGAATATTCTATATGCTAAATATTACCCATTGTAGGAAGCTGGAAACAGAGAAGCATCGAAGGGATCTATGGACGATTGGAAATGGATTGGGTTACCTTGAAAATCCAGACACTGTCGATTACATCATCCAAGATCCCAGAAGATTCTTCATCGAACTCCGGCGCCGGCTCGTCGGACCACCAACGGCGGCGTGTCTTCCGGCTGGTTCCGAAGCGAATGCCGGGGTCGAAGCCTTGCTGGGCGGCTTCTTCGTCTTCATTTCTGCGTCTGAACTTCTGGGAACCGAAGGATTCGGCATTGGAGTCCCAAGGACGATAGTGGGTTGTCGCAGAGGAGAAGCGAAAGCGAGAAGAATGATTGGGGAAAATGGATCGCCATGGATGAGTGAAGCTGGTGGGATGAAGAAGCAGGGCCTTCATTTCGCCACGTTATCCGTTATGTAATTGCTTCCCTATCCTCCTCTCTTAAACCTCTCTCTCCTTCTATCGATATTCTCTTTCTTTTTTTTTTTTTTTTTTTTTTTAATTACAACAATTTTGTTATTTCATAGCTCACCTATAAAATTTTACATTTTTATTTAAAGAGAGATTTTAGAAATTAAGGAACGAAAGACAGGATTAAAAGATAAAGAAATAAGGACCTGTTCGATCATACATGAGAATTTTTTTTTTTTTTTTTTTTTTTTTAATTACAACAATTTTGTTATTTCATAGCTCACCTATAAAATTTTACATTTTTATTTAAAGAGAGATTTTAGAAATTAAGGAACGAAAGACAGGATTAAAAGATAAAGAAATAAGGACCTGTTCGATCATACATGAGAATTTTTTTTTTTTTTTTTTTTTTTTTAATTACAACAATTTTGTTATTTCATAGCTCACCTATAAAATTTTACATTTTTATTTAAAGAGAGATTTTAGAAATTAAGGAACGAAAGACAGGATTAAAAGATAAAGAAATAAGGACCTGTTCGATCATACATGAGAATTTTTTTTTTTTTTTTTTTTTTTTTAATTACAACAATTTTGTTATTTCATAGCTCACCTATAAAATTTTACATTTTTATTTAAAGAGAGATTTTAGAAATTAAGGAACGAAAGACAGGATTAAAAGATAAAGAAATAAGGACCTGTTCGATCATACATGAGAATTTTTTTTTTTTTTTTTTTTTTTTTAAATTTAAAGCATATTAATATTAATATTAATATATTTTTAATTATTACTATTTCTAAGTTTAAATTTGAAATCTCGTAAATATATATATCTTTTTTTTTTTTTTTTTTTTTTTGATATTTTAGTCGGTTAAAGTATTTAGTAAAAATGGAGAATTTAATAATAATAATAATAATAATCATAAAGCTTGAAGCGTTATTGTGAGGGCTCGATATATCTATCCCTTTGCTTCTCCAGTTCGGCACAAAGACGAAGCAAGAAAAATTCGAGCGTAACAGAACTCAGAAATAAAAGTTGGGCTCGAAGCGTGATTGTGAGGGCTCGATTAGGTAAGAATCTTGATTGATTACCATTTCTTCGCCTCTCGATTTTCTTGTTTCTTGTGATTTGAAGCTGTTGTAATTCGCTTCGTCTCGTTCAAAATTCTATCCCGGTGAGTTGCTAATCAAAGATGTCCATGTTCCATTAAAGAAAGCTTCTTTGATCTTGATTATTTTCCAGTCGTTCATGATATAGAATCCTAAAAGAGATCGAATGGCTGTTTCGCTTTTTATTTCGATTTTGTGAAGTTCCGAAGAAACATGTTGGTTTCTTTATTGATTGATTGCAGCAGCGAGAGGAGAAATGAGGCCTACACCGATGGAGTTCTTTGCGGAGATGGAAGAACAGGGATCGACGGTAGCGATGGACGTGGATGATGTCGATCCACTTGAGATATTAGGCGAGGGCGTGATCTCAGCAGAGAACAAGCTCGCCGACGCCGATTTCTTCAACTCCTTCGAGGACGATTTTGATGACTCCGACATCAACTGAAATTCATTTCCGTGGTTCCATTCGAAACAAGTAGTCAGTTTACTAATCGCATGTTTATTGCTTCTCTTGATGAAACAAGATGATTGATGCTAGTATGTCCTACTGCTTTTTAGGGATTTCAGCACTTCTAGTTTCTTGGCGATAAATTGAAAATTGGAGACTGATTGCTTTAGAGTACTTGATTGGTTATGGCATATTTGCTTGCTTTTGCATCTCAACCACAATAATCAACCGTGTAATCTTTGTCATTAGTTACGAGGAAATTAGGAGGTGTTTGTATGTAGTAGACAATTCCTGCAACTATGTGCTCCATTCTGATGTTTAGTAATCTATTTTGGACTTTGAGGAAGTCCATAGGTTAGCCTGAATATCCTTCGAGTATAACTGGCTTGGATGCCAAAAACTTGCTGCTCGCTAGTAAGGAATAAGGATAAGCTCATCCCTATCTGTTATTCTTCATTTCTGTTAGTCTACATTTACTAGTGTGATGGATATGTGAATCTCACTGATACTTTTATCTGATAAGAATCCCATTTGAAACGAAGAAGGGACTTTATTTAGGGGGAAAAAGCTACCTCTTTTTTGTGATATACGAAGAGAGTTTCACCATGGATTTAGAACACCGCATTGACTGCACCATTGTGTCATATTTACAGTTGTCTTATAAGCTATAGGTTTTCTCATGAAGGTTCAGCATACGGTAAATTCTTGATTGAGTTGTTCCTAAATATCCTCTGTGAAGTACATAGAATTTTTCTTTACTCTTTGGAACTACCCCATTAGATACTGGCAATAGGTCTGCTTTGACCAAAAACAATGTAGAAACCGAAATAGAATTGATGGTAGGTTTCATGTGTACCCCTCCTTTTTTCTCGAATGGAATCAAGCGGATAGAGTTGAAATAATTTGTTATTAAGGGTTAAATCGTGGCGAATGAACTATAACCATCGTATCTCAAGCCAGCTTAATTTAAATCCTCCCTATGGGTAAGTTTTCCTTTATTTCTGTTTCTAGAGCCAAGGATCCAGCATTTGGATGTATGAGGTAGTGGAACTTGGAAAGTCCAATGTTTCAATTAAACCATTTGGTGTTTAGTTTTTACTGAGTTCATTGTTGTAACTTCATGCCAATTATTACCACATACTGTTGGGGGTCAGCATGATTACCGAAGTTTTTTGTACGCTAAAACAATGTGTCTTGGGGAAAGTTTTATCGAGTTCTTGTTGTAACATGATGACAATTACCATATAGATGGAGCTTTGACATGATAAGCAAATTCTGATCTGGTGTCTCGATTTTCTTAGTAGGTGATAGTCTAGAATAACCACCTTTAGATTAACACGAGTTTGCAGTTTCTGTCTACTAGGAGAAGGTTAAACATCAATGCAGCTTTCTTGATGTAATTTTTGCAGTAGGCTGAATGTAGGTGGGATCATCACATTGCCAGTTAGGTGAGTTGATGCAGCTTGGACTTGGGAATGTTTATTAGAGAGCTCATGAGGATAGGCACTAGACAGATATATATGATGGATTCGCAATCTCACTCGAAATCACAAACACCTCTAGAAACTGCTCAGCCTTTTGTAATTTTTTTTATTTCCATCCGAAGGATAATAAGTTTCATAAACTGGTCTTTTTATCTTTTGATAGCGTGTCCTTTTACAGTTGAATTCATCCTTTGTTTTTTCCTTTTTCATTCACTCGGATCTCTTCCATTTCATCGATTTTGTCCAGATCTTCCTTTTCTTCTGAAAAAAGGAAGGAGAAGTAGGTTGTGCTCCGATCTTCCTTTTCTTCTGAAAAAAGGGAAAGAGAAATAGGTTGTGATCCGTGTCATATGAGTCTTTTTCAGGTCAACCATGAACCCATGGAATCTAATGAGCAAGTTTCTGGTTCATGAAGATTATGGATTATGTACATTACACCACACAGAAGATAAACACAACACAATAGCTTAGGTTTGGACTGAAAAATTCCACATATTAATCAAACCCATATATGCAAAAAAAAAAAAAAAAAAAATCATAATTATCATAATTATCACTGTAAATAAGAATCACAATCGTGATTTATATTGACATAATACAAGTGGATTGATGGTCCAAGACCATACATATGGATAGATATAACAACTATTTATTATAACTACTATTTATTTGATCAATAGATCGATCACAAGTTTTTGGTTGTAGATCGAAAAAATCATAACTATACTTAAAGATTTTGTCAACTCTTTACGCTCATCATTTATCTTTTTCTATTGTGCATCAGTTAATACTCTTGGATTAAAGTTCAATGGAACTTCAAAAGTTGAACTACAAAAGTTTTAACACAAAAAAGCAAATGAGAAGGATTTAAAAAAAAAAAAAAAAACTATGACCATATCTAGACATTCTTCTACAAAATGAAGCATGTTCTTACAGAGCAGAATGTCGTGATTCTTCTACCTGAATTACTAATCTGAGCTAATCTCAAATAGGCAGAGCAAAAGATCTATATACTCACATCAGCCATAGGCAGTATTGAATACAAATGAAGTCTTATGAGTCGTGTTCGATACCAGAAGGCTGATTACCTTCCAATTTGAACTAAAAAGTAACCAAACATCATACAACTCTCTAACCACCACCAACCCAGTCCCCTCCAAATTCAATCATATCCCCTCCGAGTTCATCCAAGCAGTAAGCTTTATTTTTTAGGAAAAAGAAAAATTCTCAACTGGGCTGGCTTCTAGAACTTAACTAAGGAAATTCTTCATTTGAAGCTGTAAACAGAAACCACCATGGCTTTGCTAAATCCTGCAATCTTTCTTGGAAAATCATGGGAAAAATTACACTTCTTGTCCAATCAGTTCAATTCAAACATTTGGAATTGAAGGCAAACAAAGCACAAACAATAAACTCGACCTTGAAAATTTTTGCTTTTTTTTGCTTTTTTTTTTTTTCTTTTTTTCTTTTTTTAAATATATCTGTATGAATGAAATTCCAGGTAAAGATCAAATCAACTAAGCACCAGATCAGTTATTAAATTACAAACAGAAAAATACAAGCTTGTACAACAATGGTGCGCCAAACTGAATTTATGACATGCCTCTATGAGGGGATTTGCATAATACTGAGAATATGATCAATCTGTTCAGCTGTGCTCTGAGGATACTTGAGAAGCACACGCAAGCACATCCACCCTGAATCACAATTCACAAATTAGCGCTAACAAGTTTAGAGTTAAACTTAAGCCAAAGTAGATAACAATCAAAGTCCAGAGAACCTATTGAGCATTTTGGCACCATCTCAAAATCGATTCTAGACAACTTATCCCAATGATTTGCAACAAATTTACAGAAAAAGAAAATGGAAAAAAAAAAAAAAAGAACATTCTGATGCACATTATAAAATATGAAGCCTGGAAGAGAGGGAAACAGAAGGTTTCTTGAATTTCGTTCATGGAGCTTATCAGTTGAGAGACCAGCAAATAGAATTGGATGCCAGTCAGATCTTTCTCAAAATGTTCATAAGC